TCTGTGTTGGGATACCCTCAGTCACAGAGCTCTCGTTCTGGGTTTTGGCTACTAACAACCATTAATGTATTTATTCTTTCACTGGGCTGAATTTGGTTTCTGAGTATTGTCTTCTGATGCTGTGCAGGATAGGCCTGCTCCCCTTCTCTGTGACAGCCTTCAAATATTTGAAGCCCCCACAGAAATCTCTCCTCTGGCCTGAACAGCCCCAGTGCCTGCAGTTTCTCCCCTTTCACAGGGGGGTGTGGGGGCAAAAGAGATCAAGACCTGTCAGGAGCTTATGTAATCAAGGTGCCATGGTCAAGGAAGCTGGAGGAGATGTCGGGACCCACCCCATTGAGCACCCCACTTAGCTTCCACAGGTGGGCGAAGACACACCACAGAACTGCAGGACAGAGAGGGGCGAGTGTCAGAGACAGGAGTGCGGATTGTCAGGCTTTTCCGGAAATCCCAGCTATCAGATCATACCTGCTAAGCACGGGCATGTTAATCTTTTACCCTCCACCCCTGAAAGAGGCTATAAGATAGTCCCTGTCAAAAATCTAGGAAAGAGAGATAAACCTGACCACTGGAAGAGATGAGTGCCTCTGGGCACCTGTGTGCCATGGCCACCGTTTCTGGGTGTGGCCCAGTCCTTAGGACTGTCAGGAGCACAGGTGGCGAGTCTCCTTTAAGGGTCCCCACATGTGGCAGGTGCGGTGAGTCCACACCTTCAGGTTTTTGTGTATTAACACGAAATAGCATCATATTCGCTTTTTTTTGGTCAACTTTTTTCCATTTTGCCTTATATCGACTTGGAGATGCCTTCTCCATCCTGTATAGGTGATCATTTTAAAAATCTAGGTGGAGTACTCAACATTTATCCCAATTTAAATTTCTGTCTTTTTCAGCTTTATTTTTTATCTTTCCAGGCTGTTCATCTTTCTGAATCCAGATTCTGGAAGAACCTGGACTCAGTTGGTGGTAGGGTGGGCCAGATGTGCCATTGGCTTGGGGGAAAGGTTCCCACAGAAGACAGTAGGTAAGCTGAGGGAGAGAGTGGCTGGGTGGTCTGGCAGGGGACCTCAGGATTGTCTAGTCCAGGATGGGCATGACAGCCTGTGCAAGCAGGTGGGCATCACCAGAAGGGGCTGGCGGCAGGAAGAGGTCAGCTACCATGTGAATGAGTGTTCAGGGGCAGGAACTCATTTCTGTAAAAGAACCAGTGTCCTTAGCTAGAAGCCAAAGCAGGACACAGCCCAGGGATGGACCAGTAAAGAACTTGCCATGAGCATAAGGGACTTGATCACGAGGGTACCTGCCAGAGCAAGGCTGATGTGATGCAGAGCTTCTGAGCCTTTCATTAAACCAGTGTTTACTGAACCCCTACCATGTGCCCGGTACACGGTGAGCAGAACCAGGTGGAGCCCATCTTCCTGGGGCTATGTGAAGGAGAGACGAAGTGATTTAAAACCACACACACACACAC